GTGTGTGGTTGAACAATGGGGCCACTGTTCTACCCTAGGTCCAGTAGTGCCCTTATCTTCTTCTTTTTTGGAGGGTTCCCCTACTAAAATGGGCTACAGAAAAACAAGGTACCCTTATTCTAACCTCTCCACTAGAGGACCTAGTACCTGTTACTCATGACACCTCTGGGACTCCTTTTGGAGCCGGGTAGAACAAACGAAAGGGCCCGACTCGCGTTGCATCGCTGTGACTCGCACATTTCGCGCAAAAGACAAAGGCAACAAACAACGTGGCGAGGGCTTGACTTGAATGAACCAACACGATGTCCAGGGATGTGATTTTAAGACAAGCTTATTGCACAAAAAGTGTGTGTTCTAGGGGTACCTCCCTCGTTCTTTCCAGGGATCCTTCTTTCTAGAAAACCTCTAGAAACCCGGGGGAAAACGGCTGATTTTCTAAAAGAACGATGGTTGAAAATACTGGGGAAACAACCCCTGGATGTGTTCTCCTGGAAGAGCGCCCATCTTTGTTCAGCAAGGTTAGCCAACGCCCGCTTTTTGGTTCAACCTTCCACCTTTTCAGAACAGCAGGGCTTCCACTCGCCTTTTTTAGGGGCCCGACTGGGTTGGTTCGCCAGCGGCTCACCGGGGTCACAATCAAAACCCACTATTAAAATGGTCTACCCAAAACCATCGGCCGCAGCTATTTTTAGTTGGGATTGTCCCTTACTAACCTTCATCTACCCGAATCGGTTTTAAGCAAGTGGCCCATGTGCTGGAAGCACTTTTGTCATCAATACCCCCAGTAAACATCCCAATCCAAAATGGGAGGTGAATTCACCGAAAGCCAAAATGGCCTCCCAAAGCGGTTTTTTGAGGTCGGAGCTTTCCGTCAGGAGGGCGAGCCCTTGCTGCGCTGTGCCCTGGAGGGTTTCCAAAAGCAGCTGGGGGAGAGCCATCCGCAGGTGGGCGTTTGTCTGCCGAAGCCGGGGGACCACACGGGGGGAGCGAAGTGCGCGCGGACCACGCCTTCGCCAAGAAACGAAAGGCTCGTTTAAAGGGGTCTGTGTTCCATGTTTGGGCGACATCTGGTCGTTTTTCGGCTTTCTTGTGGGGTTGAGACCAGGCGAAAGCAGTCTTTCCGCTGGTTTTTCTTTCACCTCCCTAGTTTGAGACAATTGGGGGGCAATGGGAAGCGGGGCCGGCCACTGTTTGTGAATGGTCAGGGGATGCACACGGCGAATCAACCATTGATCGGTATCACAGAATCGATTATTTGCAAGGCCAGGAAAGGAAGATGGACGGATTTGCCTTCAGAGTTCATTTTGGTTGATCCCTTGCGTTTGTTGAAAAACGGCCAGTTCGCTAGTTCGCTGGCAAAGTTTGCATGTGCGAACGGTCGGCCAATGCTTTCAGATATTTAGTGTTTAGTGTTTCTTTGTTGTACTCTTCCACCGAAAAGCAATGTGTCTTACGAAGCCCTTAACAGCTGAGGGTGGTCTTTAGGGTATGGTTTGTGCTCCTTGATTTGCTTGTGATTTGTGCTGTAATATTCTAGGCTTCTAAGGGTTGGTTCCCCATTCTTTTCAACCATCGTTCTTTTCGACAACCCGCCGTTTTCCCCAGGGTTGATCCCTGGAAAGAATGGGGGAGGTACCTAACCCCAAAAAAGCCATTGGGAGGTCATTCCACAGACCATTTGCCAGCCATTGGGGGGTCCTGGTAGTAAAATCGATTCCCTTTAAAACCAACAGGGGAACAAAACAAAACAACATCCTAGGCTGTAATATCCTAGGCTAGATTTTCCGCGCAGCTTCTTATTTCCTGCCCGCGGCCTGAACTCGCTCACTCCCTAGCCTCACCATTTGGACCAAGCCCGCGGAGGTCTTCCTCAGAGAGTCTGGGCACGGCCCAGTTCGTTTCCCTCCCCAAGTCCCCAAGTTTGTCAGGGATCCTGAAAAGATACATTTTCCGCATTTGAAACATGGCTTTTTCCACCAAAGTAAAGGGACACCACCATTTACAAGGCAATGTTTAGGTGAATAATGTAAGGATCCCTGGTTTTGGACTTCATACGTGCTGGGAAGACCAGTTTGGTGCAAACAGCTCAACCGTCCTGACTTCCCGGCAGGGAAGTCGCAAGCGATCAAAAAGTCCTCTCACTCTCCCACTAACATGGAAGCGCACATAGACACTTTCCAAGAGGAAGGACTTCAACAAAGTACATCGAGTTTTGAGGGTTGGAGAGCCAGTGAGTAGTCTTACAGAGGCTAGGTCCCCCAGTGCCCTTCTCTACCCTGTTTTGGGGAAGGGTTCCCTACTAAAATAGACGTCCAGAAGCAAAAAATCGGGTACTAACTTATTCTTTCCTCTCTACTGGAGGACCTAGTACCTGTCACTTATGACACCTCTGGGACTCCGTTTGGAGCCAGCTAGAACAAACGAAAGGGCCCGAGTCGTGTTGCATCGCTGTGACTCGCAAGTTTCGTGTCAAAGACAAAGGCAACTCGCAAATTTCACTGGGGAAGAGAGCCGGTGAGTCGTCTTTCTACAGAGGCCTGTGCACCAAACCATGGAATTGTCGGTTGGGATCTGAAGCCTAGGTCTTCCAGTAGTGCCCTTTTACCCTTTTAGGGGGGAGGGTTCCCGTACTAAAATAGACTACCGAGAACAAAATCGGGTACCAACTTATTCTAACCTCTCTACTGGAGCACCTAGCTATATATATAGCAATCTAGGCAACCAGCTACAGAACATAGAGGAACTTCCCCGCACCAAGATACCAATACTGGAGGGCCTAGGTCTCTGCACCAAGCCGTGTCGCTAGGCCCTGTCCACGGCGGCGGACCTCGGCGCCGCGCTCTTCTCCGCGGGGCGGAAGGAGCGGCGCCGCTCGCAAGGCGTTTCGGCGCGCGTGGCTGAAACGCGCAGAGCGCGGTAGTTGCACGGTGAAAATTCGTGGTTTGACATGATTATATAGTGAAATCAATACATATATATATATATATATTAATGGATATATATATATATACAGATAATTTGTATGATATATGTGTGTGTGTCGTGTTTTAGAGGATACCCTTTTTTGGGGTGGGTATTAGAGGGAACCCAATAGGAATACCGCCATTTTGGCGCTTCCTATTTTGACACAGAACCGTACTATGGCTTTCACCAAGTCCAGTGTTCTGTTGTCAGTGGCTTCACTGAGTATCATCGTGTTTGTTCAATGGCCTGCGTGGCATTTGATTGACATTGTTTTTTTGGCGAAAGCGCCCAACGAAGACAGGTGTGCAGTCTGAGTGTGTGCCACAATCGAACCATACTACCCATGTCATGGGGTGCAAACGCTGGGGGTCTTGTGCCCCAAAAGGCCCCTCCCCATATGGTCTGCGCGCTCAGCTTAGGGCAAAGCGTGCTTGGTCCTCTATAGGGGATGTCCTGATTTGCGGTTTGGGGATGATCACATTCACCAGCAGGAACGACAGCATCCGCGCACTTGTACATGAACCTTCAACCAACAAGCTGCGTTATGAGGAAGTGAATGCAAATCTTAAAGACCAACAACCAATAAGGAAGGTCACCACCAACAAGGAAGGTTTATATATGGGAGGTCACCCACCAATAAGAATACCAATATACGGAAGGTCACCACCAACAAGGAAGGTTCATATATGGATTGTCACCAGCCAACAATAATACCAATATATGGAAGGTCCCCACCAACCAACAGACTTTGGGACCATCTTACATCTTTGCCCTTGACTAAATGATAAGCAAAGAAAAGATGAAACATCTGAGGTTTTGGATTGAATGTTGACCAAGTTTGGTGACCTCTTGCCCTTTTCGCAGGAGGAGGCCTGCATCCCGCTGCGCGCGGCCCACGCGGGCCGGAAGCGGCTGCTGGGCCCGAGCCACTTGCGGACTCTGGCGTCGGCGCACAATCTGGGGGCCGCTTGGCCATGAAATTGCAGCCATGAAGGTGCGGCCATGGGGAATGGAAGCTACCTTTGGGAGAAGTAATGAGGTGTTCTTTTCTTGAAAGTGCTTTGTCTTATTGTTTCTGGCATGGTACACACACGAACGTTTTACTGGGCTTCGAAATAAAGAGCGTGTGCATCCCTTACCATTTGACCCGTTTTGTTTTTCTCCACGAAAGGATGCTGCTCGAATCTTGAACCCACTGCAGTGGAGGGAGTCTTCTCCGGTCTTTGCTGCTGGCTTTGGGTACACTTGAATTGGTTGAGTCGCGCGAAAGCAGCTAGAAGGCCGCTGGCCGGAGTTGCCGCAGGCTTTTAGGAACCCCCTGCAGTTGATGATTTCCTTTGCATGGTTCAAGCATCACCTTAGGCCCATTGAATGCGTCTGGTGCGGTTGACGATTCGGGGGCAAATGTGATTGATTATGTATTCAAGCAACAAAATGCTTCGGGGGTCTTGGGCTAGAATGCTTTGCGCGAAACAGCTTGGTTGCACTCTTTGGTATCTTGCTTGGCTCCTGACAACAAAACTAGGTCCCCCAGTAGTGCCCTTTTACACTTTTTAGTAGGGGAGGGTTCCCCTACTAAAATAGACAGAAAAAAGTTGGTACCCTTATTCTAACCTCTCAAATCTGGATGACCTCCAAAAGCTATGGCCTACAAAAAAAAAACGAATTGGACCATTGCACTGCCCCCACTCCCTGCCGAGTCCCAAAAAAGCCGAGCCGATCCGATCCGGGCGAGTCGATCCGATCATCGCAGGTGGCGCTGGCCGACTTGCACCAGGTGGACGAGGCGAAGAAGCTCTTGCAGGCGCCCCGCCTGGGCGGGGCGAAAAAAAATCCATGGCTCGTGCGTGCATGCTTTTTCTTTCATTTGCTTGAGAATAGGTTTTTCCCCCTGTTGGTTTTAAAGAGAATTTGTCACTACTGTTTTTTTTTTTTTCCAGGGGTCTTAATCAAATGGAAGGTTTGAAAGGACTTCTCGCCCAAAATGGTGGCTGCCTCTTTTTTCTTCTTTGAAACCAAAAAGGGGTAGCCTCAGAAAAAGGACGGCCCGTGTTCTCTATTTAGCATCCCAAGACATGGCTGTGGGTCAAAAATACGTACCCAAAATAGAATCTTGGTAAATGGAAACATGGACCAAAACCTGCGGTCCCCTGGTGGTTTAATTTTGACCCACACCCACATGGTTGTGGTTGGGACACATTTTTTACATCTTTGCGTGTTGTGGTTTAGTGGTTGAAATCCAAATCCACTGAACTGCTAAAGTTTTTCAAGTTTTGCTCCCCTTCCAACGTCAAGCAAGACGAGGTGATCGCTTTTTTGCTGCTCTTTGGTTGGGATCAGACGGGATCTGACGGTTTCGGGGACAGGCTGAGGGGTTCCCATTTCAGGCGGAAGCAGAATGCGCATTTTGCCGCATAGCAGATGCACACCTCCTGTAGAAGACTAGTTTCGGTATTTGTCGGAATGATGGTGGGGAGTGTCATGTCCCTGCAATACTCCTGGTTAAATACCAATTTAGAAGGAGGAGCCACACGAAAGGCCTGCAATCGTCGCTAATTCTCTCTATCAGACTGCCATGGCTTTTTGGCAGTCGCTCCCAGCCATAGAAAATGTGGTTAGTTTGCTTAGTTGCGGGGTTCAACCAGAATCCAACATCTAGTTTACCTATCCCTAATAGTCACCGATCTAGACAAATCATTCTTGCCAGGCGAGAGATATGCAAAATACTAGAGGGTCCCTTTCAGGCTCGATCTATTTAAACATACAGATAAAAGTATGGACAAGACATTTAATAAACCTGGCCCTGAACATTTGATCCAGATGTTGGGGGTACAGGGACGCCAAAGGAGGCTTGAGGCGTTTAATTCACATGTACATTAACGAAATATTCTACATACATACGCACATACAGACATACAGACATACACACATACGTACATGCATGCCTGCATACATGCGTGCATACATACATTCATACATGTGTACATGCATACATCCATATGTAAATATATACAGATATATATATATATATACACGTACGTATATACATACATGGATACATACATACATACCTACATACAGACAGACAGACAGACAGACAGACAGACAGACAGACAGACAGACAGACAGACAAACACACACATACATGTATACACATATACATGCATACATACATGCATACATACATGCATACATACATACATACATACCTACATACATACATGTATGTACGTGTATATATATATATATATTTCATACTTGCACACACACAGGCCTGCATACATACATATATACATACATACATACATACATACATACACATATATACATATATAATATACACACATACGTGCGTACATACATGCATACACACGTACATGCATACATGCATGCATGCATACATACATACATACATACATACATACATACATACATACATACATACATACATACATACAATAATACATACGTACGTACGTACTTACATACATACATACAATCATATATATATATGCTTACATGCATACATACATGCGTACATGCGTACATTCATGCATACTTACAAACTTGCATACATACACACATACATACATGCATACATAGATACATACATACATGCATACATACATACCTGCATACATGCATACATACATGCATGTATACATACATACATGCATACCTACATACATGCATACATGCATACATACAAATACACATGCATGCATACATACATAGATACATTCAATCATACATGCATGCAGGCATACTTAAATGCATACATACCTAGATACATGCATACATAGATACATACATACATGCATACATTTATACGTGCATATACATACATACATGCATACATACATGCATACATACATGCATACATACATACATGCATACATGCATACATTCACACGTGCATATACATACATACATGCATGCATACATACGTACATACATGCATACATACATGCATACAAATACAGATGCATGCATGCATGCATACATACATGCATACATACATACATACAATCATACATGCATGCATGCATAAATGCATGCATACACATACGTTCATACATGTGTACACATACACATGCATACATGTATACACATATACATACATACATACATACATACATACATACATACATGCATGCATGCATGCATGCATGCATGCATGCATGCATGCATGCATACATGCGTATAGATACAGATATACATATATATATATATATATGTGCGCAACGCCCGGGGTATGCCCAAGAGTACAAGCGCGTATATATATATATATATATGTCATAGCTTTTGTGTATCTGACTAGTGCTGAGTTGAGGCTTTTGTTCTGACCAGTGCTGACTTGAGGTTTTGTTCAATTCATGTGGGCAACAAGGTTTCATGCTTGTGGCGAGTGGAAACGTCATGCTTGGCATTCCTTGAGTTTGTCTTCATGCCAGCACATACCGTCCTTGTAACAGGAACCGAGAAGGCACACTTCGAGCTGTTTCCAGGTGCATATGGCTCATGAGGGTTTATGGTTTTAGGGTTAAGGTTTAGAGTTCAGGTTTTTTAGGGTTAAGGTTTCGGGTTTCTGGTTTTAGGGTTAAGGTTTCGGGTTTATGGTTTTAGGGTTAAGATTGCTTAGGGTTAAGGTTAGGGTTCAGGTTTTTTAGGGTTAAGGTTTAGGATTATGGTTTTAGGGTAAAGGTTTCGGGTGAATGGTTTTAGGGTTAAGGTTTAGGGTTTATGGTTTTAGGATTAAGGTTTCAGGTTATGGTTTTTAGGGTTCAGGTTTAGGGTTTACGGTTTTAGGGTTCAGGTTTGGGGTTAAGGTTTTTTGGGGTTAACGCTTAGGGTTGTTGGTTTTAGGGTTAAGGTTTAGGGTCATGCGTGTCCGGGCAAACCGCAGAAACTGGCCGTATATATACATATGTACATGCATGCATGCATACATGCACCCATACATACCTACCTACGTACGTACGTACGTACATACATACATACATACACACAGGCATACATACATACATACATACATACATACATACATAGATATATACATACATACATACATACATACATACATACATACACACACATACACACATACACACACATACACACATACACACACACATACACACATGCATACGTACGTACGTACGTACCTACCTACCTACATACATACATACATACATAAACACACATACACACATACACACATACACACATACACACATACACACATACGTACGTACGTACCTACCTACCTACATACCTACCTACATACACACATACATACATACATACATACATACATACATACATACATACATACATACATAAATACATACATAAATACATACATACATACACATACATATATGATCTACATACATATATATATATATAGACAATACATATCCTTAATATATCATTCATACACATGTATATATATATATAACGTATGTCTGCACCGCTGGTATGGCCTGGATCCGAAGCGAGCAGGAGGCCTGGGAGGGCCGTGCCCTGCGCTTGGGGCCGCCGCACCCGCGGGCGGTGTCCAGCGCCAAGCGCCTGGCGGTTCTGCTGCAGGCGGCTTTCTTGGTCAGGGAGGCAGGGAGGCAGGGAGGCAGGGAGGGAGGCAGGGAGGGAGGGAGGGAGGGAGGGAGGGAGGGAGGGGCATCCCCTAAGCCTTAGCAAATAGGGGTAGCCTTTATGTACCGGCTAGTGTACCCGTTATTGCTTCTGGCTTGCCCTTTTTAGCATTCTGCAATTCAGCAACAAATCGGCTTTTGGCAGCGGCTAAATAAACAAGCATTTCGGATTCGTGGTCGGTCCCGAAGGTGGCGGATTTGATAGGGGGTGACTGTATCCTGTGCCAACATGTAACTTAACCGGAGCCCCTTTTTTGGGGGGAGGGTTCCCCTACTAAAGTAGACTACCGGAAAAAAAGGGTACCCTTATTCTAACCTCTCAAATCTGGAGGACCTAGTTTTTGCGTCGAAGGAAGCGGTGTCTCACCGGTCGACGTGGTTTGGGGCGTAGTTTTGGGTAGGGGTGGGTTTTTAGGTTTGGTTTAGGGTGGGCTTAGGGTTGGTTTGGGTTTGTCTCAGCCCAAACCTTTGTCCGCTAGTGTCTCCTTTTGTGCAGGCTGTGCCAGGGTTAGGCTAAGGGCTAGGAAAAAAAACACCTCAGCCAAGCGGTGCCTCACTGGTCGACTGTTTGGAACGTGGTTTTGGGTAGGGGTGAGTTTTTTGGGTTTGCCTTGGGGTTCCGGTTTAGGTTTGGTTTAGGGTGGGTTTAGGGTAGGGTTGGTTTAGGATTGGTTTTTGGGTGGCTTTAGAGTGGCTTTGGAATTCCCTTTGCCAACCACACGGCACGCTGAGGATGTTGTTCGTTTGAGACCTCGTTGGAGACACGAATAAGCCCAAGCAACAGGGGGTCCACACACTTTGAAAAACACCGCGAGTAATTAGCAACCAGTGCTGGAGATATTTTTCGCCACAGCCGCAACCATAGTGGTTGTGTTTAAAGAAGAAACAACTCCCGGTGATACAAATGTGTTTATCCCCTGGTTACCTATGGTACTATCTGGAATCACCGGGCCACGGCTTGCGAGTTTCTCGCTGCAGCTGCGTCCGCTGTATTCCCGAGCCCCTTCCTTCGACAGCTGTCTCACCCATTTGTGGACCTTGATTGGGGTATTATATTCCAACTGCCTTCTAAGCCCTTTGGGCATTTATAAACCATGGACCATGGTCCCTTGCAGGGCGGTTGAGGCCAAGTGTGCCAGATTGAACTGAGGTTCTGATGTTGCCAACCTGTGAGCCTTAAGGGGTTTTGGAAAATTCAAAGGCGACAACAGTGACTTTGGGCTGGAGGAAATGGCATCACCCACAAGTTGATTCAGGATGGAGATCCCATGTTTGATTAGGAATTCTTGAGCTTTCCATAGTCCTCAAACCCGTGGAAAAAACAGTTTCATGTGTGATACGACCAGCTTGGTTGGGGAGGGGGGCTTTGAGACGAGCATATGACATCACACCCTCAAACAGCCTTTTGCTTGGCACCCCATTGCCAAACACCACCCCCCCCCCCTCCCCCTGAGCAATGCGTAGGGACGGGGTCTACGGCCCATTTTTGTACACAGTTCCCACGGTGTCCCTTGCTTGGTACAAGCAAAGTCATGGTGCCAATTTAGGGTTTCCCTGGATGAGCTCTGCTTCGCATGCAGGGAGCGGACGAGGATGCTCTGGCCGCTAAAGCCTTGCGCAGCATTTGGGAGGACGGGGCCGGCAAATGGGGGACTGAATCGAAAGCTTAGATCCAAGCGACCCAAAGTCTCTGGCTGTTGGAGTTTTCCCGGCTTGAAACGAGAATCACACAAAATGTGTGCTTGTTGTGTGTTGTGTGTTGTGTGTTGTGTGTTGTGTGTTGTGTGTTGTGTGTTGTGTGTCGTGTGTGTGTGTGTGTGTGTGTGTGTGTGTGTGTGTGTGTGTGTTTGTGTGCGTGTGTGTGTCCGTGTTTATGACAACGCATCCTCTGCATTTCCAGTTGGGTCTGGCGGCACACTTGGAACGTATATGAAAAAGAAGAGCGCGAACATGGTGCACTTTCATCATCATCTTCATGATGATTTATTTTCATCATCATGTTCATCATCATCATCATCATCATCATCATCATCCTGATGATAATCATCACTACGCATCCTCAGCATCGCCAGCAGTTAACGTTCTCACTATGCCAATTATCATGTTCATCATCATCATCATTTTCATCCTCATGTTCCTCATCATGTTCATCATCATCATCATCGTCAGCAGCAGTTATCATGATAATCATGACAGCGCATCCTCTGCATTTCCAGTTGGGTCTCATCATTTTCATCATCATGTTCCTCATTAAGTTCGTCATCATCATCATCCTGATGATGATCATCACCACGCATCCTCAGCATCACCAGCAGTATGCCAATTATCATGGCAATCATGACGACGCATCTTCTGCATTTCCAGTCGGGTCGGACACTTGAAACTTATAGGAAAAAGAAGAGCCACGGTTTTGATGATGAACATGATAAGGAACATGATCATGTCACCCTCATCATTTTCATCATCACATCATCATCATGTTCATCATCGTGTTCATCATCATCATCATTTTCATCCTCATGTTCCTCATCATGTTCATCATCATCATCATCGTCAGCAGCAGTCATCATGACAATCATGACAACGCATCCTCTGCATTTCCAGTTGGGTGTAACGGCACACTTGGAACGTATATGAAAAAGAAGAGCGCGAACATGGTGACGTGATGATGCAAATGATGATGATGATGAAAATGATGATGATGAACATGAACATGCACACTTCATGATGATTTATTTTCATCATCATGTTCATCATCATCATCATCATCCTCATCATTTTTCATCATCATGTTCCTCATTAAGTTCGTCATCATCATCATCATCATCCTGATGATAATCATCACTACGCATCCTCAGCATCGCCAGCAGTTAACGTTCTCACTATGCCAATTATCATGACAATCATGACGACGCATCTTCTGCATTTCCAGTCGGGTCTAACGGGACACTTGAAACTTATAGGAAAAAGAAGAGCCATGTTTTTCTTCCTCCCCTTCCAACGCCAAGCAAGCCCATATTTTGACCCATACTCCATATATTTTCACCCTTCTTGGCCCTGCAGGTTTCCCACTCAAGTGTTTTTTCCCAACATGGACGCACTCTGTACGATCCTGCTCTTGACAAGCAGCCAAGTGTACGCGGGTTGCACTCCTGGGAATGGTATGTGTCAAAGGGGGGGGCACAAATGGTGGCTTTCCTGCTAGTTTCCCTTGAAGCCCATCGCTCTGAAAAGGGTACCCCCCAAAAGCACACACAGCCATATTCTTTGGTTAATGATTCTTCGCTGGAAGGACATATTCTCTTGGCATCCTTGGCGAATCGTCCCTGTTCCCCCAACTCTGGAGCATCATGAAAATTGCCAGATGTCGAGGATTTTATTGGGTCATACGGGGGTGTCTCAAACTACGGAATCTGGACTTTATCCGTTGGTGACCATGAGGGAATTATCAGGATCAACAAGTACCCTCTCTCGCACTAACATGGCCATGGCACCTGACAGGGGGTCCTTTCAGGAGGAGACTTGTCTTCCAGGACTCCCCCTGTGAGGTTTCGTGTTAGCGGATGGGAGTAGACTGGTCATAAGGGGAGCCTCAGGCGACTGCCTGAGAGCCAATTTTGCGGCTCGTAACACACGACCGACGACCCGGTGCCCCTTGGCTCACCTGGTTCGGGCCATGGGTTTCCAGAATTCGACATCCAGCTCAGTGGACAACTTCAGACCCTCCTTTGGCTCGTGGACATTTCCCGCAACTCGGAACTCGGAACTCGGACCCGAAGCAAGGCTCTCCATGGCTCCTCTCGGCGAACCCGAAGCTTGCACATCACCTTCTCTACTGCTGGGTTAGATCTTTAGACTTCAACTTTTTGGATTCCCCACCCAAGAAGTTCAGACTTTCAACTGGCCTAAGAGACTTTAAAAGTTAGACTTCAAACTATTTCCTTTCAACCAGCAAAAAGAAATAACTTTCAAAAACTTTTAGACTTCAAGAGTTCAACTTTCAACTTTAGACTTGAAAAGTTCAGACTTTCAAGACCACTCGCCGAAAAGTCGGCACCGCCCTCCTTTGAGTCCCTGGCGTCCCTCTCGATCCGCGTCGATCGATCGCGTCATTTCGTGCAGGGGGAGTCCAGCAACCTGGGCCCGGCGCATCCGAAGGCGGTGGAGGCGAGGCGAGAGCGTCGTGGGGAAGGAATGGACCCCAGATATCTCATGGGATGTTTTTTTGGTTGGGAAACATGAAACATGATATATATTAATTTATATGTTTGCTGATCCATATCTCATGGTTTGTTTTTGTTGGGACACATGATATGAGCTATTTTTTGTTGGGAAACGTGATATGTGTTATGTTTTTGTTGGGAAGTATGATATATATATATATATTTGTTTTTGCTGATTGTGGTTTGGGGGAAACATGATATATATATATATATTTAGTGGTTGAAGTTTTGCTGATTGTGGTTTAGTGGGACACATTTTTTTGGGGTTCTTGCTGATTGTGGTTGAATGTGGTTGAAGTCCAGCCACCTAATTGCTAACATATTTTGAAATTGTTGCTCCCCTTCATCAACCCCAGTTCATCAGTAGGGGAGTGGGGCCCCCTCCAACAGCGAGGATTCACCCCACTAAACCCAGGGACACCCAAGGGTACCCCGTAGTACTTGCTCTTGGGTTGTCGTGTTGTTGTTTGGTTCCCTTGGTTTTTTGCTTGAACCATGTTTTTGATGTTTATGGAAAAAGCCAAGAACAGCACTGCATTCCGCCCTCAGTCAAAAATAGGGTACCCCAAAAATGAGTTGCCCTGGAAATAGAAACATGACCTGCCTCCGGTCCAATTCCTTGTTGTATTTCGAGATGTATGCATTGTTGTGTGCAAAGAATCGGACCTTCCTACCCCTTAGGGAAACTTATCGGTGCCGAGAAGACATTAAGAAACAATGACATGATCAGCCATGCCATGTCCACCAAGGGTGGGGTGACTCGAGACGCACCGGTCACTTCAGGTCAACTCGCTAAGAAAAGCCCCAAATTTCTGGAACAATCCGAGAAGCGACTGGGGGCTCCCGCTTCGAGTTTCAGCCATTAAGAGGTCATTCCTCAGATTTTAGCTGCCAGCCATTGGGGGGTGAAAACCTCAAACCGGAGGATTTCTCCACTTGAAGTCGGGGCCCTTTTGGTCTGTTCCTCGAAAAACCTCGTCCGGGTACTGAGAGGCAGCGCGGAGGCTGGCGCAATGGCTGGCGAGGCGCGCAGTCTGAACAGCTCGATGGTCGCGCCTTTTTTTTTTGGGGGCTGCGATGAGGTATGGAAGCTACCTTTGGGAGAAGTGATGAGGTGTTTTTGCTTAAATGTGCTTTGTCTTATGGCCCAACATGCAGATGTTCAGTTTGGTTTGAATGGATCCGCCTTTTTCCTAGGTTGCGATGAGGTTTGGTTGCCTAGGTCCCCCAGCTAGGTGCCCTTTTACCGTTTCTTTTTGGGGGGAGGGTAAACCACAGAAATAAAGGGTACCCTTATTCTAACCTCTCTACTGGAGGACCTAGGAAGCTACCTTGAAGTCGTTTTTGGTTTTCATGTGCTTTGTCTTATGGCCCAACATGCAGATGATCGGTTTGTGGCTTGCCTTTGGTTTATGTCGATCCGAATCGCCCTGTGGAGATCCCATGGAACCTGCAAAAGATGGCTTGCTTGTGCTTGTGTGGAGGGGGGAGTTTTGTCCGGAAGAATGGTTCTCACTTCGGCAAACACCCGGTTTCATGCGCCACCAGACGGCATAATCACGTTAGCCCGCTCGGTTCATCTTTTGGGGTCAGAACCTCAGTCCGGACAACAACCAGGCAGAATTCAGATGCGGAAAATGGTCGGACGGGGTTGAACAGCTCAGTTGCAGCTTGCTAGTTGGGACTTTTGACGCATGTACGGACCCAGAGAAACTTCTTCGGAACCTAGAAATTGGACCTTAGGGAGCCCGACATTAGGGCATGAACATTTCAGTCAGACTCGCGGCTTAGTGTCCCAACAAGATTGGCCAAGCCTCTGTGGCCAAGTTGCTCGGGCCATACGAACACAAAAAGAGGACCACAAAATGCGGGCCACAGTCTCGACGGGAATGCTCGGAGCCTTCTTTTGCGCGCACCTCGCCGATTTCTGGGGACCCGTCGCCTGGATGAACCAAAAATGGGGGTGGCTGGCCCTTTGTTCCCACAGCTAACCTTGCCCCTTTTTTTTCTGGGGTTAGCTTCATGTTTCTTACCGGCACAAAGTGGTGACTTTCTTGTAGCTCTGTTGCCCAGTGCTGCCCTTTTCCCTCCTTTTTGTTTGGGCAAGGGTTCCCTTTAAACTCAACCATCAAAGAAAAACATCCAAAACAAGAAGGTCTGCCCTTTTTTTATTCCATCTAAAAAACCCGGGTGCCTTTTTCTTCCCATGGAAATCCACCGGGCATCTGAGGCCCGGCCCGGCCCCCGGCCATCGCAGGCGCCACCTGCTGCACGAGGCAGAGGCGGTGCTGGCGCACGCCCTGGCCAACGCGGAGGCGACGAAGTTTTCACGCTCCGAAGAAGAAGAAAACAGCGACCGTTGCTTGCTTAGTTGCTTGGTTTGTTTGAGTTGTCTGGTTTGTGTTTTCTTTTTTGTTGCTTGGTTTGTGTTTTTGTTTTTGTTGCTTCTGGTTGTTGTTTGTTGTGTTTGTGTTGGTTGTTTGTTGCTTCTGTTTGTGTGTTGTGTTTGTGTTTGTTGTTTGTTGCTTCTGGTTGTTGTGTGTTGTGTTTGTGTGTGTTGTTTGTTGCTTCTGTTTGTTGTGTGTTGTGTTTGTGTTTGTTGTTTGTTGCTTCTGGTTGTTGGTTGTTGCTTCTGGTTGTTGTTTGTTGTTTGTTGCTTGGTTTGTTTGAGTTTTCTGTTCTGTTTTGTTTGTTGCTTGTTTTTCCCCCCCCCTTTGTTGGTTGTTGCTTCTGGTTGATGTTTGTTGTTTGTTGCTTAACGGTTGTGTTGTTTGTTGCTTGGTTTGTTTGAGGTTTCTGTTTTTTGTTTTCCTTTTTTTTTCTTGGTTTGTTTTTCCCTTATTTGTTGGTTGTTGCTTCTGGTTGATGTTTGTTGTTTGTTGCTTAACGGTTGTGTTGTTTGTTGCTCGGTTTGTTTGAGTTGTCTGTTTTGTTTTGTTTTTTGCTTGGTTTGTTTTTTCCTTACTTGTTGGTTGTTGCTTCTGGTTGATGTTTGTTGTTTGCTGCTTGACTGTTGCGTTGTTTGTTGCTTGGTTTGTTTGAGTTTTCTTGTTTGTGGTTTTGGTTTGTTTTTTTTGTTGCTTGGTTTGTGCTTTTGTTGTTTTTTTCTCGCTTCTGGTTGTTCTTTGTTATTGTTTGATGGTTTTTGGTATTTGTTGTTTGCTGATTGGTTCAATTGTTTGTTGTTTCGCGATTCGTCTGCTGTCATCGGAAAGTTGGTGTTTGGTCCTTTTGTGCTCCGACCAAAGTTCTACCCCCAATCTTTGGAGTACCTCCTGAGCCTTCATTGGGTTCCTTCTTTTTGTCTTAAAAGGATTGTGCTTTGTGCTTCCTGCCAGTTGGGAAGAGCATTGAAAAGCCCATCAGGGTTTTTCCATGACCTGACCGACGACCCTATCGACCTCCCAAATGGGTTCCTGGAAACATGGGTACCCACGTCCTGACAAGACCCCTATGTTTGGTGTTCCCTTGCACGGAATCCTTGTTTGGGGTGAAGTTGTTTGATTCGCGTGGCCCGAGAACTCTTCTCTTATTTGGAGGTACATACCTGCCTTGTTTGCCACTTAATGAACAAACATCGAGCAGACCGAGCAACAGTGACCCGATGGCCTTTCGGTTCTCCGTCAAACACCATTTGGCTGTTGGTCAAAACCCATGGTACCATTTTGGGGTAGGTGCACCACCCATTTTAGTCTATCTTAGTGGGGATTGGAATGTTCACTGGAGTTACGGGATTTTGACCCATGGCCATTTAACAGATGGTCCCCAATTTGTCCCCTCCCGTCTTTGTGCCATCGCGAGCTGTTTTCTTTCTTTCAGGGCGTCGGACTGTGTCGAGGTTTGGTAGGCCGGCTCTGCATGGAACCTGGAACCCAAAAGGCAATCATCATGGTTGTTGTTGGGAAGCAATTTACATTGTTGCTTATTGTGGTTTCGTGGTTGAAATCCAACCACTCAACTGCTAAGAGTTTCATTTTTTTGCTCCCCTTCCAACGTCCACCAAGTCATTGTCGGCCAAATGGGTGGCTCAAAACTAAACAGGAGGGGTTACGCAGGTTTTAGCCCATGTTTCCACTTACCAGGGCACCCCATTTTGGAATTTCGTTTTTTTGAGCCACTGCCATATTTCGACACATTCGCATGGTTGTTGTTGGGAAACATTTTCCCATGTTTGCTTCTTGTGGTTTAGTGGTTGAAATCCCCACTTAGTTGCTAAAGTTGAAGAAAATGAGCCACAGCCAAATCTCCGGTTTTTTTTGGGTGGGCTCCCTCTTTCCCATGTCCACTTGGCAGGCTGAGGAGGCGGATGCAGAAAGCACCTCCGCCGGCGCCAGTGAGGACAACGCTTTGTGCTTCTTACTAGTTTTCTATTACTACTATTTTTATTACTATTTATTATTATAGTTACTGTTATTATTATTATATTACTAATAATTATCATTGTTATTGTTATTATTAACATCATTATTATTAAGGTTATTATCATAATGTCTTTTTCTGTCGGGTTTGAAGCTGGAACTTCGGGTGCCCTTTTGGTGTTGCTTTGAAGAGACACCAAACTTTGAGTTGTTTCGAATGAATCAATGAAACTTCCCCTGGATCTACGAGGCATTGCCCGTCTCCTTACAAACTAGTTTTCTAGCATCAGTTTGTCCACATTCCAGAACATATACTTGTTGTTTGGGCAGGCCGTACATGTCCATTGGGGACTCCTGTCGTGTTATGTTTTTTTCTCGGAGACGCTGTAGAAAGTACCAGCCCACACAATGAGAAGGAACCCACCATGCTAATCATGCCGAGCTTCAGACGAGCTCTCCCAGGATGAAGGTTTTCGATGCAAACACACTCATATATATATATATATTATACATGTGTATTAATATAGTTTGTAGGAAGCGCTCATGCTGTTTCCAAACTTTATGTCCCATTCTGAGTCAAACAAGCGAGGATGAGCGGGACAACGAGCGTGCAGCCCAGCTTCTGCAGAGCCTTGGCTTGACCATCAGCTTGCGAATGTTTACAGTTGTCAGGGATGGGTTGTCTTCGACGTGCGTTCAGACTTCATCTGGAAAGCATCCACTGTCGATATAACCGTTCCTGCCGCTTCAACCGCTGATTTGAGCAAGATACCCAAGTTGCTCGTAGTCTTTGGCTGTTCGGACATGGGAGAAACCCACAAATTCACCACCAATTGGCCTGCCGGTTCCCAAGCCTGGTTATAAAGTGGGTTGGAAACAAGGGAAGCCAAGGGGTATGAACAAGGGGTACTTCCACCCTTAGACAAGCCCGAATATTTCTTTTTGGCTTCCTTCAAGGCTTACGTATTTTGACGGGGTTAGGGGTTCATCCCAAGCGATGTTTGTGGATTCCACCTGCTCTGCCCCCTGTTGATCCTTGTTTAGTCGTCTTTTCGTACTCTTTTCATATCCTACAGGGCTGGATCCACAGCTTCGCCACATCCAAACCGCTGGCTAGAATGGAGTCATCCATGGTTGTTGTTGGGAAACAATTTGCTTGTTAGCTTAGCGTGGTTTAGTGGGAAATCCCCACTCAAACGCCAATATTTTGTTTTAAATGTTTGCTCCCCTTACAACGTCAACCAAGCACATTCCAGATCATTTGCTTGTTTTTTTGGGAAGGTCGTAAATGTCCATTGGAGACTCCTGTCATGTCTTTCTCGGGGGCCCGGGGGAGAGTGCCCAGAGAAGGAACCCACCATGCTAACCATGCCGAGCTTCAGACGAGCTCACCCAGGATGAAGGTTTTCCATGCAAACGCACTTGTATATATATATAAATACATAAATATATATATATATATTCATAAATATATATATATATATGTATATATATATATGTATATATATATATACACTATGCATATATATAAATATTATATATATATACATATACTATACATATGTAGTAATATAGCTTCAGACGAGGGGCTCCGCGCCTGTGGGTTTGGGGGCTGAGGTCCGCGCTGCTGGGGCCCAGCTTCTCCCCGGCCAGCTGCCTGGCGAAGTTGGCGGCCGCCAAGCGCCGGCCCCACGCGGCCCGGGTGCTGCGCGCGGACCTCCAGGCGCGATTTCCACGCGAAGTGGCTTCGTGCTGCCTGTTGGTAGAGATGAAGTTTTACCCTCCCACCAGCTAACATGGGTTTGTTCACAGACCCTTGTAGAAAGACTACTTTCCTCTTGGAAAGGGCCTTTTTGCACTTCCATGTTAGTTGGTGAGAGGGTACTCGTTTGGACCTTGGATAATTTTTCCTTGGCTAGGTCCCCCAGTAGTGCCCTTTCTCACCCCTTTTTTGGGGGAGGGTTCCACTGAAATAGACCACAGAAAGATGGGTACTCTTATTCCAACCTCTCTACTGGAGGACCTAGAAGCTGTGCAGTTTGACACTCAGTGGGAAGGCTCCTTTCCCACCAAACACAACTTGGTGTTGATCTGGTTTGTGAGAGGCTGTGCCCTGCTCAGTGCCCTAAGGTTGGAATTGTACGTTCCGGGGACTTTCAACAGCAGGGCCTCACATAGCCACAAAGGGAGACTGTGGGCACAGGGCTTGGCCACCTTTGCCCTTGGCAAAGGGAGCCTCTATTTTTGGAGGTGAATCATTCTCATGCAAACAGATTCTGGGCGGTTCAAACAGATCGCCCCCTGTTCCGCAAATCCTGATTGAGGTTTGGATAGTGATGACCCACTTTGGTTCAGCTTATTCGCCACCGGCCATAGGCCAAGGGTTCCTTCCAGCCCTTTTGACGTTGTGAGACTTCCCTACATGGTTGTTGTTGGGACACATTTTACATTTGTGCTTCTTGTGGCTCAGTGGAAATCCCCACTGAACTGCTAAAATTTAAATCTTTGCTCCCCTTCCAAAGTCAACCAAGCCTAGGGGGCGAATCATGATGTTGATAAAAAAGGATTCCAGGGCCAGCTTCTTGGATGCCAAGGGACTTGAAAGTGACAAAGTAGTCATACTGTGGATGGACAAACCCCCACACCGCCTAAGAATTGCTGGTGTCTGATGATTGTGCCGTAAATACCAACCAACAATGGTTTCTTATGGTTCTTAAATGGTGCAGGATTTTGTCCATCCACAGTAGGGAGGAGAATCCCACCTTGGCAGAGGCCCAAAATTGGAGGGTGATGCCGATCTATGCGCTTGAAAACACCTGTCGCCAGGACCTGCAGGATCGCCCCTTGGCCAGCAATGCGGCGAGATCCGGCCTCGCGTGATAGCCAACTGAGGTGGCGAGTCCCAACGTTGGTAACCCCCCCCCCCCGGTGTGCTTTTGATTTTATCAGGTGGGTGTGGCTCAAAATTAAAGAGCAAGGGTTACGCGGGTTTTAGTCTTTGATTCCATTTACCAACGGGCCATTTTGGTACATTTATTTGGGCCACAGCCAGGTGTTCCTTGAACCGCGCAGCCCAATGCTACTGAATTAGGTGTGTGCGTGCTTGGTGTTGTTCTTGTGGTCGGCGCCCAAGCACTGCGCTTACTCTCCTCCCACCGATTCAAAGAAAGACTTCAGTTGAAAGAAGGACTTCTGCAAGAGACTTCTGCAGTGTTGTGTCTCTATGTTTGCGTGTCACCATGTCTTTACGTCTTGTGTACATGCACCCAGCCGCAGGGTCAATTCAATGGGCCCAGCTTTGGGGCCAAGGGCCCGGCCATCTGACTTAACCATAAGCCTTGTGCATGCAAGAAACTTAGCATTGTGGGAAGGCAGTTCTTGGAGACTCCAGTTCCACTCAATCAGGGCATCCACAGTCGTGTTTGGCCTCTTAGACATGCCAGCAGACAAATAGGGGTTGTTGCCATCAAACTCTCTCTCTCTCACACACACGCGCACACACAACCAACCAAGGAAGTAACTAACTAACCAACCAACCAAACAAACAAACAAACAAGCAAACAAACAAACCAAACAAACAAACCAAACAAACAAACAATCAAACAAACAAACACAGAAACACAGACGTACAAACACATACAAACTCAAACACAAAAGCACACAAAAACACAACGGCAAACACACTGACCGCGTGACCTTCAGGAAACTTGTCATGGGGAAGAAGCTTACAGCGCTACGCCCAGATCGGGGTATCAAACCAGCTTGAAGCTGCCAAAATGTAAGAGTTCTAGGAGGGTTTTCCAAAGGGCCCTAGTTGCGATACATACCCGGACATGTCAGTGCTTGGAGTGAGCATGGCTGCTGAGGCCTTGAGCAGATAGCTGAGGAGGAGGAGAAGTTGGCTGAGGACGAGACATTGGAGGCACTGAGCTGTGGGATTTGCTTACCAGAAGGGACGCCCAAAGGAAACCAACTGATGTTCACTTGTGAAGGGCTTGCCTATTTTAGCAACGCCCATGCAATTTCATGGTAGAATGCACCAGCACCTTCGCGACACTTGCCTTTTTCTGTGCTTTGTCCAGAAGCTAACGGTGACCCTTGGCGAGAACGTGGTTTTCCGCGCTGGGGGATTGCAGTTTCGGCCTGATCAAATGGGATCTCAGGATTGATAAACTGGCTGGGTTGCTGAGTTTGATCATGGGTTGTCCCATTTCAGAGGGCATCCATTGCTGTTCGGGGAAACCACCTTGGTTGACAGCCCCACGGACAAATCCAACGGAGGCTGTGTGGCGGTGCCCTTTCTCACCGTTTCTTTTTTGGGGGAGGGTTCCCCTACTAAAATAGACTACAGACAACAGTTGGTACCAACTTATTCTAACCTCTCTACTGGAGGACCTAGAAGTAGTTCCAAGTGCGTGGTGTCCCGTCGCTTGCCTTTGAAGCTCTTTGAAGCGAATCACTGGAGCTGAGAAAGGCAGATGTGGACCGAAGCGCCTCACGTTCGCCCTGCAAGGCGAGGGCCAGACCTATGGCTCAAACCTAGGATGAATTACCTGTTTCAGACCCGATTTCACGGCAAATCCTTTGTTTACTATCTGGTCCCATGCCCAGCTTTCAAGCGTTTTGATTTGTTCTCGTTCGATGTCTTCCTTTTCCTATTTATTTTGCCTGGAACCAACTCTAGGTCCCCCAGTAGTGCCCTTTTACCAACCTTTTTGGGCGTTTTTGGGCCTACTAAAATAGACGAAACCGAAAAACCAGAACCGGTACCAACTTATAACCTCTCAAATCTGGAGGACCTAGTCATGGTGGCCATATTTTTTCCCCCTGTAGTTTTCATGGTTTGATCCGGCTGGATCCGTTTCTTGGTGGGTTGCCAAAGACACGTGGGCGCAAGCCCCCGGAGATGGACGCAAGCCGCGCGCTGGCCAGGTCGAGCCGCCCCGCAAGAAGCCCCGAGGCTCGCGAGGTTTTGTCCGAGAATCGAAGTTTGGGGATGGGCCCGGGCGCGTAGGCTGCTTGTTGTTGGTAAACATTTTACATCTTGTGCTTATCGTGGTTTGGTGGGAAAATCTCCACTTAACTGCTAAAATGTAATGTTTGCTCCCCTTCCAACGTCAACCAAGATTGGTTCCGGCTTGGTTTTGGATGAAGCGGCCGTCAGGGCTGAGTTGTTCAGATTCCGGAAAGCTGAGTGTTTCATCAAATACTGGCAAGAAGAAGCAACAGAAAAGAAACAAACACATCATCTTCATTTTGGTTTTTAGGGTTTAGGGTTTAGGGTTTAACCCAAAAACAACAAACACACAAAGACAACAAAAACAACAAAACAAAGCAACGACTCTGTCCACAGACCAGACTTGAGGACGTAGTCTTGTTTTTTGCCGTTGTTTTTCTTTGAGTTTCTCGAGGTTGTTTTTGCATTTATTTGCAAAGTGTGAGTAACCCGGAGAAAACCAACAAGCACAACAAAACACAAGACTCTGTCAGCTGTCCTGACTTGGGGCAGAATCTGTGTTTTGTTTTGTTGTGTCGAGTTTCTTGTATCTTACCGTTTCCGGCCTGTTTGCAAGCGCTTCTGCGATCAAGTGCGCTGATGTAGTTCACATCCAAGCCGTAGTGAAGAAAGCTAGAGATGGTTTCGTTTGATTGGATTTGTTCGTTATTTAATTATTCTTAGTTTTAGTTAGAGTTAAGTTGACCTTGATACATACGTCAAGTAGATTTCCCGAATTGTTACAAGTCATTGTTTAAATGTCTACTGATTTGCAAAGCCGATTCTATTGGAAAGGACATCCTGTGTAGCATTCATTTTGACTTAGAATTTTAATTATTCAGATTATAATTCAAAATAAAACATGATTGGATTCTGTCCGTATTACATGCCAGTTCATGTGAGGTACAACTTAGGTAGAACTTGATAAATAGAATACATAGGATTCATACATGCTTGTGCGACAAGTAGGGAATGTGGGAATGAAAGCAGGGATGGCGGGTGGGTCCCCTGAAAGGAAGCCACCAGTTGGATCGTTTATTACGGTCATTCCATTTCTCATTCGCTGCCTATCACACCAGCATGTAAACCAACGTCTCGTGACCCTTGATTTCCGTCTTTCAAAAGGGAATTCTAGTGACCTCGGAAGAACCAGACCGCAACTTGCGTTGGTTTCCCGCTGCTCATTTGCTCCGCGAATCTAAATGTGGCGGGAACACTGCTTGGGGCTCGTACAAGTTTACAAGCATATGAACGAATATATCCTAGATCTTCCAGGGTGGAGAATTTCCATTCTTTGCCGAAACTGCAGAAATGCCTTTGTTAGGGGTCCTGCACTCCGGGTCCCTGGCGGAATCAGCCAGCCAGCCAGCCAGGGAAATGTCCGGCGGAATCAGCCAGCCAGCCAAAGAAATGCCCGGCGGAATCAGCCAGGCAACCAAGACGGCGGAATCAGCCAGCCAGCCAAGGAGATGCCCGGCGGAATCAGCCAGCCAGCCAAGGAGATGCCCGGCGGAATCAGCCAGCCAGCCAAGGAGATGCCCGGCGGAATCAGCCAGCCAGCCAAGGAGATGCCCGGCGGAAGCAGCCAGCCAAGGAGATACCCGGCGGAATCAGCCAGCCAGCTTAGGAGATGAGAGATAGGTGCAGGGAGAGATAGGTAGAAAGAGAGAGAGAGAGAGAGTCAGAGAGAGAGATGGGTAGATAGAGAGAGGGAGAGAGATAGGTAGAGAGGTAGGTAAGTATATATATATATATATTTATAGATGTATATATATTTATGCATGTAGATAGGTGGATAGAGAAATATGTATGTATATATACATATGTAGGTGGATCGGTATATATCGAGAGAGACAGAGAGATTTGCACATAGAGAGAGAGAGATTTGCAGATAGAGAGAGAGAGAGAGATGGGTAGATAGAGAAAGATGTAGCTATATAATATATATATATCTATAAATATATTGATAGAGAGATAGAGAGAGAGTGAGATAGGTCGATCGAGAGAGAGATAGGTACATAGAGAAGTATGTAGATAGATATATGCATATACATGTAGATAGATAGGTCACTACAGAGAGAGAGAGATAAGTGAATATAGAGAGAGAACTAGGCAGATAGAGAAAGATGTAGATAGATAGATAGAGAGATAGAAAGGCAGATAGGTAGAGAGAGAGAGAGAGACAAATGTAGACATAGAGAGAGAGGTAGGTAGATAGAGAATTATGTAGAGAGGTGTATATACATATGTAGATGGATAGGTAGATCAAGAGATATGTGTATATATATATATATATTTATTTATTTATGTAGATAGACCGGTGTATATATATAGAGAGAGATATGTAGATAGGGAAAGATGTAGATAGAAGTTTAGGTAGGAAAAATGTAGATCTATACAGAGAGAGAGATAGGTAGACAAAGCAATATATGTGTATATGTGTAGACAGACAGGTCTACAAAAAGCAGATAAAACATATGTGCAGAGATTGATTTATATATATATATATATGTAGAAAGATAGGTATATATAGGGAGATTGGGAGACAGAGGGAGGGAGAGATAGGTAGTTAGAGAGAGAGAGGCAGAGAGATAGGTAGATAGAGAAGTATGTAGCTAGATATATGCATACACATGTAGATAGATAATTCTGTAGAGAGAGAGATATAAGTGAATATAACTAGGCAGATAGAGAAAGATGTAGAGAGATAGGCAGATAGAGACATAGAGAGGCAGATGGGTGTAGAGAGAGACAGAGAAATGTAGATATAGAGAGAGGGAGAGAGATAGGTAGATAGAAAAATATGTGTCTATATATAGTAGATAGGTAGATAGAGAGAGAGAGACAGGTAGATAGAGAAGAATGTAGATAGATATACACATAT